CATGCATGAATCAGGACAAATCAACACCCAAATGTTATTGTTTGCAATATAATCCACAGTGGCCTTGTTAGCGAAGCCATGTTGCTTCAATAGGCATATAAAATACTTTTTTGTTGTTGTGGTGGTGGTGGTGGTGGCGGGGAAGGGGAAGGAGGGAAATGTAAGGAAAAGAAGACCTCACTCCAGACCTAATGCGTACATGTCAGCACCATCTAGTATGTCTGCCACAAATTTTTCAGGGACTGGTGTAATCCAATGTATAAACGGTTCATCACCTAATCTACTCATCGGAAAAATTATCTCATATGCTCCTCATAACAATTTATTCCACTACTTATCATTGATAAGTCATTTTAAACAAAAATCTAAGATTAAGTACTACCATGCTCCTGGGGAGGTTGGGTTGGCAGGGGGTGGGACAACAACAGGAGCCTTGGGAATTACAAAGAGGAGTGGGGAGAGCTATACCACAATGCCCTTTGTTTTCCCCTTCACTGCTTGTGTTTATCTATTACCTCTCATCTACTGACAGAGGATGCTCTGCAAATTACTAATGATTACTGGCCAGGTGATAATGTACTGTAGTTTTGAATTTCAATAAATACTTCATTCTTGGTTGCATCAGAATTCCTACGATGATTCAAACTGTACCACTAGCTCATCCCTGTGTTCGACATGAAAGCCAGATAATGAAACGTCTGCTCCTTTAGCAGCCTGGATTGCCTGAAATTGAGCAAAAATAATAAAAGTTCAAAATGAAAATTCTCCTTCCTAATTCACTGATTTATTACGGATTAGTTAAGAGAAGTTCATGGTTCATCGAGACAATGGTCTGTTTGTTCTTAAAGATGATTTCCAGTCCATACTGCGCAGCCTCAGCACCCTTGACTAATGTTTATAAACATTGTAAGTCTCACTTGATGGAATGCAAATTGATGTTATTCGTTATGAACCACATACCTTATCTTTGAGGCCTTTCAAATTCTTTTTCCAACAGCTTCATTGATTTTCACAGCTGAGAAGTTGTTTCATCAAGTGATATGAGAAAGACCGAAGCATAAAGCTTCGCATCCATAATGGGGGTTGTCATGAAACTTTGAATTTACTTCATGTAAGTAGTTGCAAAATGTTTACATTCTGTGATGTCTTACATGAAACAAAACAAAAAATGTATACACACTCTCGAGTGTGCAGTATGGACTGGAAATCATCTTTAGTCTCTTGTTACTATCAGTCATCAAATACTTACAAACATGATGTCTCCTTGTGGTATTGGTTCACTGGCTAACACTGTTTGAGGAACTTTGACTCCATTTGGGAGGTCAGACGTGTTCTGGAGGGTTGAACCATTAACAGCTGACAATTTTGACCTTGAAAATAAAACAGGNCATCAGATCATGATCAAGCTATTGCTAATGAAAATCCCTCAATTCCTTGTCTTTTTAATGTACAACTTGCTAATACTGTACATACAGTACATGTGATGACTATCGATATTACTGAAGCTTGTATTTTGTGTAAACTTGACTGTAACACAGGAGATCAGCAGGTCAATCGTATAACGTGATTGATCGGACAACGGTACGCTTCTTAAATTTATTTTTAAGGAATTTGAAGGCATGGGTTTTTCCCTTTCCATTATTCGAAGATGAAATAAGCTTACACTATCGTGAAGACTCTCACATGCTTAGACGAAACAATTTATAGTTGCATCGAGAGCTGATAAGTCTAAATAAATTCAGTTCAAATAGTATTAAATAAACTTCCTCGGCGGTAATAAGGATGCAAAATAAAATTAAAAAATTGCTAGTAATTAACGAGTAAAGGTTTATACGTGCAAATTATCAATGACAGTCACATGACATCCAAACGAAAGAGCAATTGAACACTGACTTACTGGGCCTTCTGTCTCGTCCTCACCGCTAAAACAACAACCCATTCCCAGCAGAGTGATCTTCACTGTTATTCTCGGCTTAATTCGTTAAATCTTTTGAAAACGTAGAGCGATACAATTATTCAAGCACGTTCAGAGAGAACCTTGCAAAATCCCACAACTTTACAGGAAATCCAATCTGACAGGCTTGGTTACTCGGCACGTTCACACCTCGCAAAGATCTGTGGGATCAGTTGTTACGGTTTCAAAATCAACCGCCAAATCTTTACTGCTTGTGCATTTGTGCAGCTCGATCGTTTTGCAAATTCTGTCGATTTTAAACTGTTTTTATGTTGTTTCAAGGTCTTTTCGGAGCTCTGTCGATTTGAAAATGAATCCAGCAAATTCCAAGTTCTTACTGAACTGGGTGAGTATCCACGCGTCCTTTGAGATTCGAATCCTTGGAATCCGTGTACTGTCTCCAGATAAAATTTAACAGAGTGCCGAGCAGCCTTCTTGTTAACTCACCTACATTACATATAGCTGTAAAACAGTGTTTTGAGGATGAAAAATGTACTTTATCTCCTCTTCTTGTAGATCAACGCAAATGCTTCCAGTGAAGAGGAAAAAGTGTCGAACATCAAAGATGCGGCCAGTAAAAACCTGCTTCTCAAGATCTTGCATCTAATGTAGGTGCTAAATTAACCCACACACTGAATATCTGACTTAAGTATACTTATAATTTACTGGATATGCAGCTCATAATGAGGATCTGTAAGCTTTTCTTTCTTGCAACTTGCTAACCAACGCCATTTGAAGACAAGATACAAAATAAGCTTAAATAATTTTGTAATGTACATATTCTATACGTAAATGATCAGGCTAATAATGCGGTTTGTTTACATGGCAAAGGTGACCCTCAGCCTGATCAGGACTACATGGTTGTATGTGTTCAGGCTTTACCTGGGTGTATTGTGCAACACTGGACAACAAGGGCCAACCTATAAATTTACTTGTATGCTTTTATCAAAAACATGGACTGAAAAGAGATGGTGTCCTGTTACACTGTAGTACTAAATATGAAAATGTCTATTCAGTGATAAGGAAACTTCCAAGGATCTACCAAGAGACAGTGAAGCATTCGAGGTTGAACAAGTCCTGTCCATGATCATCTCATATCTTGGAGGTAAGAAAATACTTTGAGCTTCTTCAAGCTTTTGCTGTTTTCCTCAATAAATGTAATTTTGTTACAGTTCTGTATGAGTCAGTACAGTGCACATTAGTCATTATATTTTTCAGTATGGCTACTTATCGGTTGATTCCTTCTCTTGTAGGCTTTCACCATCAGAGTTTTGAATCTGTTATAAATGAGCAACGTTTAAAGGACAGAGACGAAACAGAGACTGGAAAAGTATGTGACAGTATTTTGTACATTACTATCAGTTGGTCACACATGTACCCCTACTTCAGTCTGTTGGACAACAATTAGCATCTACTGTACGTTTGAGTTCATTGCCAACTTAGAAGTGATGGGAGAGTTGCCTCAGGCGTAATGGAGCCACATGATTTTAATAGAGCACATCAGGTTTCCATGGCAATCCTGAGAGTACAACTCACCAGGAACTGTCATACTAGAATCAGTGAAGATACTTAGCAACCAAAATACTCACACTGCATGTCCACACACATCTGGGACACACACAAAAAATGGGATGATGTGTACTAAAGGCATCCGTGATTGAGGGTCAATTGATACTCTTGATCGATACCCTCAATTGACATCTCGATCAGTACTCGATGGACATCGCGATCAACTCGGTCCACACTTGATCAACAGTCGGTTGATAGTCGGCTGAGTGTCGACCGACTCATGAAATGATTGAAAAATTTGTCGACTTTCGACCGACTGTGGACTGAGATGTCGATGGAGTGTCAACCGAGGTGTTGATCGAGTGTCTATTAAGGGTCGATCAAGGGTATCGATCGAAGGTATCAATATTATTGACACTCGACCATGGGTGCCTTTAGTACACACGATCCAAAAAATGTAAGTCCCTCAAAGCCCTGCATGCAACTCCAGCACATGCACCATGACTGCTGCTAAATGGGGCTGACTAGCATTGGCTTGAGTATAACTTGTTCTACTTGTTTTTTTCTTTTTTAATTCAGTTCATGTCTTGTTCTCCAGGTTATAACGCTTCTGCTCTGTGGAGCAACTCAGTGTGATAATGTGGCCGTGTTTGTGGATCAGATCACCCAGATGGATGTTGAAGACCAATTCAGTTTTAAATTTTTGATTGAATCCGTTTTGACTGACATGGAACAAGGCAGCCTCACTTCAGACTCTTTTGCTACAATTCTAAGCAAGAAAGGTGAATATACACTGCACATAAATTGTCATGTATATTTTAGAAGTAACATGTAGATTGACCCTATTCAGACCGAACGAGATTTTGTTTTCTCAGTACTGTTGGTGAAAGGAAAGAGTCAGGACGAAGCATATACTTGTCAATTGAATATCTTGAAAAAAAGTACTTGTGGTGATGACAGACAATGGGGGAAGTCTGGAATACATCTTGTAGGGCTGTCATTAAGGACCGTCACCCGTAACACCTGTTACGGCTGTGTATGTTAGATTTTCCCTTGATGCTGTGGGTGAAATTGCCTATTGTTGATAGAATTCACCCACAAAGTAACAAGTTTGCTATGGGTGACAGTGCGGAGAACGAGGCTATGGGTGACTCAAAACTTAATGACAGCCCTGTCTTGGCGGCCAAATAATTTAATGAACATATATTAATAACCCATTGAATATGTTTTTCTCTTTCATTGATTTCAGCAAATTTAACAGAATGTCACAAATTGGAGCATGACACAGCACAGCTTCCTTCACCATTATCTGTCCAATCACCCATTGAAGCTTTCTTCACCAATTCTCCATTGAAGTCCCTTGTGGCATCTCCACAGTTACGCAACAAACAGAACCAGGTAATTGATAACTTAAGACATGTTTGTTTCTATCAGTACCTTTTTCTTTGTATTTAATGCGGGATGTCTAAGCTCAAGGACTTGAAAGAGATAACAAACTGAAAAGTTGCTAAGTCATACAAATGTAGGTTTGTCTTTAGCCTCCTATGTGGACATTTTTTGGGCTTGTCACGAAATCTTCCCCCNGGGGGGGAGATTGTGTGACAAGCCAAAAGAGCGTTGCGTAGGAGGCTAGTCTGTCATTTGTTGAAAACTAATGTAACTGTGCAGCAGTGGAAAAACATGTTCCGCCGAATAACTTTGGTGTGATTTCACTCTGACAGCTAATGCTGAACAAACTGCAACAGAAAGTTACGAAGCTACAATCCTCACTGGACTTACAGATGCACATGCAATCCGAACTAGAATCTGAACTCAAGGAGAAGAACAAAGAGATTGATGCAAGAGGTAATGAAGTGTATAGATCATAATAATCATCTTAGAATGATAATGATGTTCAAACCAAAGCAGTGTTCCAGATAAGTGCAGGGTCTCAGGTCAAAACCCCAACAAGATCAGCTACATGACCCAACAAATTAATAGGAAATTTGTTATGATTTGGTGGCTGCACTGGGAATTAACCCGTTGGCAGGGCTGTGAATTAGGACCATAACCTGTAACACCTGTTACAGCTGAGTGTGTTTGATGGACCCTTGATGTTACAGGTGAACTGGCCTGTAGTTGATACAATTCACCCATAAAGTAACAAGTTTGCTATGGGTGTGAAGATCAAGGCTACAGGTGAATTAAAACTTAATGACAACCCTGGTTGGAATTCCTTTTGGACACCCTACATTGAAAACCTACATTGTGAATCTGGAACCCTGCAAAGTTAATGGCGTCAGAAACCAGGGGAAGAAAAGAACAAAGGAACAAAGATAGGGTCCTGTCTACTCTTATGCAGCTCGTATCTGAAAGAGAATTTGCTGAGTATAGCAGCTGTGTTGTTTATCAACGTTTGACTTTGATTGGTTGATCATACAAACAGAAATTACAGCGTACAGGGCATGTTCCATCTTGCACAAGTTGCCTTGAAACCTTTTGCCTAAAGAATGTGACTATAGACATGAAAAGCATACTCTAATGCTTTGTTGAAATGCAAAAAGAAATTAGGTGTACTTGGGGTTAGGAGAGAATGTGGGAGACACTGTTATCTGTTTATACTAACTTGGAAAGTAAACACTGTTTATCATGGGCAATATTAATTTATAAACAGCTTTAAATGCACAACTTCTCTTTCAAATAAATGTTAATTGTTTCATTTATAGATGCCACGATTATAGAATTACGGAAGGAGATCACCAAACTGATGTCCACTACTGATGAATTAGAACTTATGAGACATTTCAGGCACGATTTTGAAAAGGCAGACAAAGAGAACGCAAGGTAACAACTTCAAAACTGTGCTCAGAAAATGTTCAACGTCTTGTAGAGGAGCACATTGGTTAACAAGCTGACTGTAACTTCCATTTCTAACCTTCATCATCGTCGCAGGACGAACTTTAAAAACAACCCAAGNTTTTTTGCTCAACCAGGCATTGAATGCAGCGTCAAACTCTGCACAAATGAAGACAGAGACGCAACGAGCTCAGGAAATTGAAGTTGATGATATAGTGCTGGAACAGAATCAGTTGTGTAACATGGAAGGTAATAATCGGTATATAATACAGTACCGCTCAAATGTAGGTTGCCACCTCTTGTCTCGTTTCTCGCGAGACGGCCTCGTTTCTCGTGAGTCGCGTCTCGTTCCTCTCGAGACGAGCCTCGTTTCTCTCGAGACGTGTCTCGTTTCTCTCGAGAATAATAATAGTGAATACAACACCCTCTTGATACCCATAACCATGACTGGTGCGTCCCTTCTCAGTCCTCTTGCCTGCTCCACGCGTTCTGCATTTTCTGTGTCGTCTTTTTCGTTCATTTTATTAGAATGGAACTGTAGGGGTAATGAGATGTTCTTTTAATTCAGAAAATATTCCGACATTCTGAATCTTTAAGACTGAAAATAAAATCATGAGCTACAACATTCATGTATTTATGTTACAAAATGATTTTTTAAGAAACATTTCAGAGGATTTAAAAGGACTTCAAGCCCAACTTGGGTGTCTTGAAATACAAGTTTATTATCATCAAATTCTGTCCTCGCCATCGTTAACTAGATTGTTCCCAATTGAAAGGTTCCTATCATTTTTCGGAAATTGTTTCACATTTTTATTCGAACCTTTATTTTGGATTTTCATAAACCTTGCGTTAATAATAATATTGGATGATTAACGACTACTAGAAAGTCTTTCTGATTGTCTTGTTTTGTCCATTTGTAGACGATTCGCCAAGCCATGTTCCAATAGCGCCAGTCAACATAGACAGCCGAATTATCGAGCTTGAACTGGAGAAATGCCGTTTGGAATCTCAACTGTCCACTGCTGTCAATCAAGAAGAATTCCTGGCGCTGAAAGAGACTCTGGAGGACACCAAGGAAGCACAGACGTCTTACAAGGTAAACCGCTGACCTTCTGCTTGTTTTCTTAGCAGACAAAGCCAAATGTTATGGCTAGATTCAAGAAACGAACGAGTAAAGGTGTTAAATTTTAAACATTTCGGTCGGAAGCGTAAGGTTCAATTTCTCTCTAATACGCTTTGACGATTGCTACATGTACTCATTCAGACCTGAAAAAAAATCTGCCCAATCAGAATCTTCTTGCATGTAGGTTTTATCAATTTATGTACCTTTGTTTGGCCTTTATATGTACCCTTCCAGCAAAGCGCCTTCCATCAACATTAAAACAGGGTCTTCAATGCATAATTCGCTTAAGACTGTTGGTTGCAAGTAGAGTGAGCCGTTTTTGCAAAAGACTATTAATTAAATGTAGTAGTTGGGTTGTGTTCTATTAGGATCAATCGTTTCTGGTTGGTTGGCATGTTTTTTTCGTGTTCTAATGGGGTAACACCTCTTTCGGTTGGTTTGATTGTTTAACTTTTGAGAAAGGTCAACCGTATCAACTCAAACCGGTTGCTGTTAAAACGGTTAATCTCAATAGAACACGAGCTAAATGTCATTGTTCTCTGCGTCTATGTTTATTTTTTTCTTTTTCTTTTTCTTTTTCTTTTTTTTTTTACCAAAAGGAAAATTACGTAGCTGCCAAAAGCAGAATTCAGGAATTGGAGGAACAGCTTGCGGTTGAATTACAAAAAAGGTAAAGTTCATTAACTGCTGCGGATTCCATAAGTGGAGAAGCAGATTCCTTGCCTTCTTAATGACACTTTTTGAGTTTCGAAATTTGCCATCTGTAGGTAGCTCTCGTAGTTTGAACTCGTGGCCAATACAATACAATAACTTCAGCAATCTGCATTTTCTTAATGTTAGTGAGCAAAAGGACGAACAACTTAGGAACATCCAGGAGCAGTGTTTCCATGAAGTGGAGGAACTGAAAACAGTTCTGATGAGTGAGCGCTCGATGAAAGCAGAACTGGCTGAAGAGCTTGATGTGAGAGAAAAGAGACTGCAACAGACAACTGTGGAAATTCAAGCGCTTTCGAGTTTAAAGGCAGGTTTGGAAGGCAGCCTTCAAACGAGCAATGCTCGAGCACTTGATGAAAAAGTTAAGTATGACAGAGAGATGAGTTTGAGGAACGGAGAGATGAATAAAATGAGTGAACAGATACAGCGTTTGGAGAAAGACATGGAGAATAGATTGCAACAGATTCAAGCTTTGGAGCAAGAGAGGGATCATGTTCGAGACACGTATGAGCAGATGATGGCTGGTGTAAAAAACGAACTGGGTGAGTTCATTTGAAACTTGTAATACTTAACCGATCTTGTGTTTTTCTTTTCCCAATTCCAACGCTGCTGGAGCTAGAGAAGACTCAGTCTACACCCTTTGTTGTCAGTTATGGAAAGATATATGTCACTGTTCATGTTTCTGCTCAGCGTTAACTCGCTAGGCAGATAGTGTGTTGTAATACTCCCTGTTTCTTGATAAGGCATGCGGATAGTATGTGACTAACGTTTACCTGCTAGCTTTATCCATTTTAGGCAATTGCCTATCACAGCCATTTCTCCCATTCCCACGGCCTGGACGGTAATTTGTTCTACAGTAGAACCCCGCCTTACGACCACCCCGTTAATTCGACATCCTGGTTATTACGGCCACTTTATTCTGGCCCAAAAAAAAGCTCAGTCAGTCATTTTCTTATTTAAAGACCCCTTTAATACGACCACCCCGTTAATGCGACCAATTTTTCATGGCCCGAAGGTGGTTGTATTAACGGGGTTCCACTGTATTTAAAAAGTTTTTTTAATATTCTTTTTGAATTAGTCGTGTTAAGGTTTTCCACAGCATTTCTTCGACGAAAAGCATTTTGATTCCAGGAACGTGGCGTTAAAAGATATGACTGTATTATTGCATGTGTGGCGAATAAATGAACCAATAAAAACTAATATATTACACCTTTTACCCGACTTCATTATAATATTTTTAACCAGTTTACTTTAATTTCTTTTCCTTGAAAAGATTTAAAGATCAACAGCATGGCGGAAGATAAGGCCGCGACCGTCGCCCAGTTTCGTCTGAGAACACAACAACTTGAAGAAGAACACGAAAAAATGAAGGAGGAATTTGCCAGCAAGCAGAAAGCTATGTTAGAGGAAGCAGAGAAAAACGCCGCCAAAATTCAGGAAGCTTGCGACGCGGACCGAGCGGCGTGGAAAAAGAAATTTGATCAGCTGTCAGAAGAGGTGATGAATACACGCAGTGAAATGTTCGAGAACTCGAAGAAGCACTCAGAAGAACTGATCGAGGTTCGAAAGAAAGCGAGGGAAGCAGAAGAACTGTTAGACGAGGAAGCTAGAAAAAACAGAGAAGAGAAGGTGAACTTGGAGAACCAGCTTCTGAAAGCTAAAAGCGCGATGGCTGAACTAGAGATGGAAGTCAAACGTGGAGAAGTGACCAAGAAGGAATTAGAAGATGAGAGGAAGAAATATGATGAGTTGAAAGGAAGGTGCGAAGGTTATGTTGCTAAAGTGGAAGCACTAGAGTTGAATACCGAGCAGCTTAAGAAAGAAGCAGAGTCTGAAAAAGAACGTGTAAAGAAGGAGATGCAGCAGTTAGTGGAAGCGAATAAAACAGAGGTGGACACTGCTCGGCAAGCATTGGAAAATTTGAAGAGAGATTACAGTGAGCTGGAGATAAAAAGAAAGGAAGAAATTGAGAAGATACTACAGGAGGAAAAGGAAATTAAAGATGGGTTAACCCTGCAGATAAAAGACGTGGAAAATATAAGTGAAGAAAAGGGCAAACGAATTGAAGAGCTTGAGACTTTGTTGAAAAAATCAATGGAAGAAAAGAATAAGCGAGTGGAAAATCTAGAGACAATGTTAAAGGAATCACAGGAAGAGGAGGTTAAAAGAGTCGAAGAATTAGAGAAATTGTTAAAAGACGCACTAGAAGAAAAAGAGAATGCAGTTAGCCAGGTCAAAAACGCTCAAATTAAGTGGGAAAATAGACAGCAAGAACTGCAGGCGAAGATTGAGGATCTTGAGGGTGCCTCGGAAGAAATGAAGGAGGCAGAGATCGCATTTGCCGAACTGAAAGATCATATGCTGGAATTACAGACGGAGAAAGATCGCTTGGAGCAGAAAGTCCAGGAGGAAAGCCTCATCAACAAAAGGCTCGGAACAGAAGTGCATTCTCTAGAGGCGCAGCTAACTCATGCTGATCGACAAATACGCGAACTGAAGTTAGATTCTGCCGATAACAAGAATAAAATGGACTCGCTAAGAAGGAAGACAATTGGAGGAGCTAGAGCGCAAAGGTACATTCAGGACGTGTTCGAGGAAGAGGACAGTTCCACGGAATCCGATGAAGGTCCACCACTAATGCTGGACGATTTCGCAAATTCTCTGGGAGGAAGCATGAAAGCTACAACACTCCCGGACGGCGCTTTCAACAAGTCAAACAGATCTCTCACCAGTCTTCACTCGGCCTCAAGTTCAAGCCTGAGGGCTGGTGTCCAGACTCGCGCCAGTCGCCGTCAGAGTGCTATATACATGCGCGGGAACACTCCGCCTGAGAGGCGCACCACAAACAGTGCAGCGTTCTTTATCCTGGGTGACGGTTTGCGACCGGAAATGGAGCAAGATGCTGAATACGACTGGACCCGACTGGCCGAACTGCAGCGTCGGAACGCGTCGTGCCTCCCTCACCTGCAGACCTCGTACCCGGTGGAAACTCAAATGCAGCCAGACATCTCCGGCCAGGAAGATGCGTTAAAGACGGGAAGAATGTCCTTAGATGCATCCCTGACTAAAACTTACAACACGCGCAAACGGAAATCGGAAGAAAGTGCCTCGAGCATGTTAAAGACAAGGAGCCATGGGTCGAGTTTGCCGAAATCCAAGTCTGCTCCCAACATCACACCTGCGAAGCAGCCTCGGTCCCAGCGACTGGTTACGGCGATGCAGTCAGCGTTTGGTTCCCTCCGGTCCCGCTCAAACGAGAATCTATCTCATGAAGCGCCTGAACAAGATGAAAATTCCTCACGGAGGGAGAGCGTGGCTTACAACATCGAAATATCGCCGCCAAAGAAGGAAAAAAGCGGGATTGCACGACGCCGAACCATCGCGCGGTCCACAGGAACGAGTCGACTTCTTGGTGAAAAGACGAAAGATTCCTTGAAGAAATCAAAAACCCAACAGTTGAGAATTGATGTGATTCAAAGAAAGCCACTTCGGCCACGGGACGTGAAAAGAAACGTTAAATAACAATGCTTAGTTTAAGAGTGAGTTGTATGAGGGTTTCCATATTGAATAGCTGAAACTACAATTGAAAGTTTTCAAGGATATGTGAAAACTGCCCGTGATAGCAAGTTTCGTTTAAGTATCCGGTGATTTTTCCAGCAGTGTCATAACCAATTAGGAAATCGCCTGTTTTTGTTTATTATTTTACTTCCGAGGCTTGCACAGGCAAACTAAATGTAAATTAGTTTAGTTAATGTCAAACAATGTTTAGTTTTGAACTTTGGGAATAAGCAAGTGACCCTTATATTGTCATGCTAATAACACGTTACGAATGGCGGCAATAAGTTTACCCACGATTAACACAAACCTGGAAATCACTTCTTTTGACAAAGGTCCACGCTCGTAAAATAATGAATTCCTGATTTTAACAGCTTATAAATGAAATAACTTTCCATCTGTAGTTTTATGAAAACTAAGGTCAGTACTGAAACAACTGACAGCAAAATTATTCTGAATTCACAAATTTCGGAGACTGTAGAGCTCTCCCGTCTTTTGCGATAGAACCACTGTATATAATAATGTTGACTAAGCTCTCTCAGTTAGGCAAAAGACATTTCTTTATTTACTAGTAGTGTTATTGAAAGAATTGAAGTATCGGAAATATTATCTGAGGGCAAGAATGTTTTTTTTTTTTTTCTTTTAATAACGGAAATAGAAATTTGTACACTTATTCTGTGTGTCTGTTTACTTGCACTTAACTCGGGAGATCTGTTTTCATGGTTCATCGAACTTAAACAGATTTTTTTTCTCCGTGATTTTCTGCGAATAATTTTCGCATAGCTGTGTTTATTATTAATATAATTTAGGGGAAAAAAAACATCTTACGTGCTACACTTGACAAAATTATCATTGACAACAAGCTCGCACGTGAGAAACACTTCACAAACGTCACTTCGCATCCGTTTGTTTGGGAACGCCAACTCAGTTAATTAGACAGGCTTGCCACACGTTAGGAAATGATGCTGAAAAAAATTCTCCTAGGTTAGGAAAAAGTCAGGGAATTTTATTGAGTCGGGCAAAATTGACGTTTTGAAGAAAAGTCAGAAATTGAAACGATAGGCGAGGCATTTTACAGCTGCTAACACCACTTAACCTAATACTGTTCTCAATCTCAAAACGAATCCTCCACACGTTTTTCTTCGTTAATTTATAGTAAGCCAGCAAGCTTTCTTAACTCGTGCCCTGAAGATAGCATTGAACGAAACGCAATTCCGGTTCCGTTTAAAGATCTTTTTGTGAAAACCGGTAAAAGGGTTCCCAATTTCGTTTTCTCAGATTAAAAAAAAATCCTATTTTGCATGTATCTGTTTTCTTCCGATGTTTTAACTATATACAGTCACTCGCTATGTCCACTTAACGTATCGCAAAGTGCACCGCACAAGCCGGATTTGAGGAAATCGAATATTATGACATAGGTGTCGTTTGATGGCTTCACAGGCAGTGTTATTCATATATATATTGAAACTGGAGAACCAGT